TGTGTTTTGCGCTATTTTATCTGACGTTTTGTTGGGTTCCGGAACACCCAAGATGATCAAACTGCGGTTATTCGTATGTTTGTTGTTTGAGTTTGTAGGTTGAGGTGTATTTTTGCGCGATCTTTCCGACCACGTTATATCAGCGAAAATCCTTTCGCCATTGTCAGCTTCCCCCCTAAGTTGGAATGCTCTCCAGGTCTTTCTCGGTATTAACGGTAATTCTGAGAAGTCTTGGCTTACCGTTATGTGGCGAATTCGGTGGTCGACTTAATCGTGTTAGGGAAACTGGTTCGATAGGTTTTAACTTCGTTTTGGCGCAAAGTTTGAACCACTCCTCCAGTTCGCGCTTGTGTCTCGCTTGTAATAACGTATCGCAAGGTTCTGTGACGTTAGTGCGAATAACACTAAGTCCCGGTGATGCTTTCCGTTTATTATTGAGCGACATAGTTTTGGATTCAATGGCCTTTTTTGACGTTACTACATCGGTTTGTAACGGATGTATGGAATTCTTTGTTAATTCAACATGCTCCACTCCCTCCACCAGCCCAGACTCACGTGGTTGTAACAGCTCTTTGATATGTTCTAGTTGTTTCTCTAATGAGCCCAGTCTAAGCTCCATTAGGTCGTTCCTTTTGCTGATGTCATCCGTGTTCACATTTTGGCTGTCGTTATTCAAGATATTATCTCTACAAGTGACACATCGATAACATACTGAAGGGTGACTGGCATCATTAACAATCTGCACCGTTGCATCAGTTAGTGTTCTATCACAACGGGGGTGCACATGCAGTTTACAAAAACAACATTGAATTGAGGGCGTATTGAGACTCACCGGGTCAGAACAGGTCACACATGGGTCGCATTGAATTTTTTTTGTTATCGTGCGCGCTGTTGACGCTTTCGTTAATGTTGATGCTATAGAACGGGTGACGCGTTTGGACATGTTTGGGCGTGTGTTGGGCAGGTCAGCTAGCGAAATTGCGAGCGTGTGGCGTGTATGTGCGGTTTTGCGCTTACACTCGGACTAGCGTGTGCGTTAGCTGGTTAGCGGAAGTTGTGAACGCAGCCCACTCGGAAGGCCAGTGATTATCGATCCGCAACGAAGAGGAGTTCAATGGTGAAACTTGCGCGGACAGATTTCTCGATAGCGCCCGTAAATCTCCACCGATCTTTGCAGAAGTGGTTGCAAAGGATAGAACTCGTCGCGGGCTACCGTTTCGTGTAGGCAACGTGGAGTATCTTCGAAGATTGCGGGTAGTTGTGCGCGTGTATGTGGAATCCTTGACGTGAGCCAGATCCCAATATCCGTATCTCCTCAACGGCGACTGACAGGATTTCAGAAGTTATACAGATCAAGTTAGCTTGCGGAGAGCAAGCGATTGATATGCAGATCAATGGTGTAGGATAAAATAGATCCAAGAAAACTGTTCCAAAGGCGGAACGCCAGAAAATGCAGCCGCACGGTAGTGTTGGCTTGTGATGGGAGACATGGTTGAAAAAAATTACTGGACTAGGCGTATGCGTGAGAGATACGGGAGTTCTGAGCAAGCAAGAAAGACAGAAAACAGCAAAAAAAGTTCGGGCTCACCAATTATGTGAGCTTATGTGTCCCTCTCCCTCCTTCTCTCCCTATTGCAGGCACCACTGTCGAACCGCCACGAGCCCCGGACAGGGAAGAGTAGCTGCTTGTACACCCCCCTACTGACCTTGACCTACCTTTTGTACGCCCGACTTCCGGTTTCGGTTAAATACACGTGCGTTGTTGCCACACTTCGGTCTTCTTCCCTGTTCCACCCGACCTGTGCGCATGTGTGCTGTGTATACCGTGTGGATTCATTAGTACCAGGCCGTATATCTGCGCCGTCGCTACATTCTCTCGAACGTGGAAAACCGCTGACATCCTGACGTCTCACGTTACATTGGTGACAGAGGTGGGATAAGTCAATTTCGAGGTTAATTTTCGATCTTACTTCCAAATATAACGGCACACGTACGACGAGACTGCCAAAGAATCGGTCGGCATTTCAAAACTGATCATGTCCCATATCCAGTTACCTCTGCAAGAACCAGAGACGTTTCAACTGGGCGACGATTTCACGCTCAGGTCGAGTCGAATGAAGGCGTTCCTTACACTGGCACATCCGCAGTATCACGAGTATTATATCCTGTCTGTGGTGAACATTGACTCTATTCTATTCATTCTGTTTAGTGTATTTTTATATGCCTTTGTTTTACGATGCGATTGATGGTACGCCCGCGATATTCGAGAATATACGATATTCATTCGTCCATATTCGGACTTC